ACCGAGATTTTTTTTTCTTCTTTCAATGCACCTTCAAAGATCGGCACACTAAATAAAAAAAACTGAAAACACACACCGAGCGAGCAAACGATTACGGCCCCCACCACCCCCACACCAAGTGCGGCGTGTTCGTTCCTTGTCCTTTGCTTCCCCGAAACCTCTCCATATTTGCACGGTAGACTACGTACGGTGCGAAAGAAGTTCAACATTAGTCGCGTTCGGGCAGCTCTTTGTGACGGAAGACCCTTCAACCGGTAAGGCGCGACTGGCAGTCATAGGCTCTCGGTAGTTGTTACATAAAAGCTTTAATAATAATAATCATTTTTTAAAAACAGTCTTAAAGACGAAAAAAAGGAAGGGAAGAGTTAGCAAGTAAGCCTTCATGAAAGTCAAAAAAATGACAAGCGCTTCTCTATATCAATTTGAAAATTGTGATAAAAGAGTATTTTAAAAACATACATACGTCACGTGGCATCGGGTGACGTCATTACTGTTAGCACAAATACATTTTAACGTGGCATAAAATGGAGATATGCCAAAATCAAAAAATCCTAAATTGTAAAAAAAAATTAAACTAAATCCTTTAATCTGAAATCCCCCCACCTCCTAGTAAACAGTATCGTTACTTATTTCGCGCCTCCGATTAGCACAGTTGGCTACGTATGGTGCGAAAGAAGTTCAACACGTAGCCTTTCTCAAGCAATATTATCCATAAAATGTGTTTTTGGGGGGGGGGGGGGTTAGATCGATAAAATAATTCTGGCAGATCGCCTGATGAAGTTGGTTGTAATTGCCAGCGAAACGTCGTACTCCAATTATAGATGTTGTGGGTGTTGTGGGTGTACTCTTCCAATACACCGGTAGTACCAAATTGGCATGTTTTGTTTCCGTGACAAACCTTACTTAGTGCCTGTGTCGGGTGGTGGCGGGTTTGCGACACATTCATTTTTACGCGACCTAATCAAAACAACTATCGAAAGAGGCTTCAACATACATACATACGTAAAAGTGCGCGGCTCAAGTGTGGGTTCCAGATTTATGAATTAAAATAGAGCTGCACTATCTATCATCTATATTATTGGTTCTTTCGGTAAAGTCACGTAGAAGGGAAACAATAAAATGATAAAAATATAAAACAATAAAATTATCACGACGTTTCGACTGCAACACAAGCAATCATCATCAGGTGTGAAAACCACAGCAAGAAAATGTGAACGTTAAAAAAAACCGCCACTTTTTAAAAATTGTCTTGCTTAGGTTTTCACACCTGATGATGATTGCTTGTGTTGCAGTCGAAACGTCGTGAGAATTGTATTGTTTTATCATTTTTATTGTTTCCCTTCTACGTGACTTTACCGAAAGAACCGAGAACATGAATCCCTGCAGTCACGAAAGCTTTAAATCAAAATTTATCTATCATCTGTCATCTCACTCAAAGTCAAACACAAACGAACGTGACGGCGAATTTACACGAGCGCCAATCTTGCCCCGCATCTCTCTTCTCTCATGTCCCTACCTACATGCATGTATGTGTGTCTTCGTTGAACGTGTCTCTCTATATCTCGCGTCTTCATCTCTCCTCTCTAGAATCGGGTGGCGTGGTCAGCATCACCACGCCCGGCCGCCTTTGTCTCCCCATTGCTAATGTGTTATACACCTCACGGGCGCTCATGCAAGACAGAGCCGACCTAGGAGAGGCCAATGATCGCTTTGTAGATATTACTATCCACTGATGTTGGCCGCTGCCGGGAATTTAACTCGGGTAACCGGGTTAGTGGAGTATTTGACTGCCGTAAATTTCCGGATGATAAGCCACTTCATTGAGCTATCAATTTGTGGCCAGGGACGCGTGGAGGTGAGGGACGTGATGGGGGAATGGACGAGGTTCTCATCGGCAGCTGGAGGAAGGAGCGGCCCTGCGGGTGTTGAGACACGTGGGTCGAGAACGAGCTTCTCGGGATTCGTGATGTACTCTCGGGGTGTCGCGCGCCCTCTCTTCCGCGTGCTGCCGGGGGGCGTCTTTGGAGGCGCGCCTCGCGCTAGAGCCGTCACTGAGCGGCGTGGACCTTGAGGAGCGCTTCGGTGCCGGCAGCATTTACCCGGAGGAGGTTACAACCGCTCCACGGTCAAACGACGAGACGGCGTCAAGGCGGGGTGGGGCAGAGCGGGCCGTGAGCCTGGGTTCATGAAGGAGTATGCGGGTACTCTTTGGTTCTATTCGGTAAAGTCACGTAGGTAAAAAAATAAAACAACAAAAATCACGACGTTTCGGCCACAACACACGCGGCCTTCATCAAAAGCTTCAAATCTAGAATTGAGTATGCGGGTGTGCGAGTTCCCCTAGGTCGACTCAGCCTTAAATGAGCAACCTGATGCGGTGTTTAAACATCGCCACTAGGGAGACAAACGCAGCGTGGTGCTCACCACCCGCCGCCTCGTGTGCCGTCCCGGCCTTCATAGGTACTCGCTAACAGCACTTGCTCCAACAGTCTGTTAAGGCGACACGGAAGATATTTGCCTGGGTCGACTCAGCCTTAAATAAGTACCTGGTGCGGTGTTTAAAAAGAAAAAACACCGAAGAGCCAAAGGCGGCCGGGTGTGGTGCTACTCTCACCACCCCCTCGTGTGCCGTGTTAGCCTTTATAGGGGCTACTCGCTAACAGACCTTACTCCTACAGTCTGTTAAGGCTATACGGGAGATCTTTGGCTTTGTTCTTTATGTGCGGAGCGGTGGCCCAAGGGGTTGGGTGCGTTGCACTACGAACCCCGTTGCCTGAGTTCGGTTCTCGGCCACAGATACAATCAATGGCGAGTTTATAACCGAATCGGTCCTGGGCTTCCGATGGATCGACTCAGCCTTAAATGTACTCGAGTTTGAACTTCTTTTTCACCGTGCGTGGCCAACCGTGCTAATCGGAGGTGCGTCAATGAGTGGCTGGTGTGGTGGTTAAAATATTGACGGCGAGGAGACAAATGCGGTTTGTCGTGATGTTAGCGGTTGCGTCCCTGAATAGGTGTTCGCTTTCAGCAATTGGCGCATCAGCGTTGAAGGCTTTGGGTCATTGCATTTCTGTGAAATTCATAAACTGAGAGTGCTCGGTCTCTGATTGTGTCCCATAACCGGCACAGGCATCAGTCAAATCTGATCATTAACGCTTATTTTATTTCTCTTTTATTTCTTAACAGGTAAGGCCCACTGATTTATACAGCTCTTTTTGAGAAGAGCTGTATAGATCAGTGGCTTATCACGTGGAAATTCATAGCAGCTAAATATTCTAAATGCATGTTTCTAAATGTAGAGGGAAAACCAGAGGACCCGGATAAAAATCCACGCGACCACAGGGAGAGAGAACACGCAAATATACAGCAAGCGTCAGGGCCGGGATCGAACCCACGGCCTCCTGCATACCAGGCGAGGTAGTCAACATCTCGTGCTGTAAGTTTTATTTATTTATTAATTTTCATTAACTTACGGTATGCTTTTATTTGTACCATTCATTTTTGTATTCTACCCGTCATATACGTTCAACACGCATTGATAAACCCTGAAGCATTATAAACAGACACAAACTTCCACCGTCAAAATCCTTCTAAAACTCCCACTCACCTTGTCCTGATGTTTGCGAGTGACTACTAGGTCACTCTTATTTATGCATAAACAGACCCCCCCCCTCCACCCCAGTTACCATCCGATCCTCTAACTCCCACCCTTCTCCTCCACCCTGCATCCATGCGCTAATAGGCAATTAGCACTAATTAGACTTAGAGGGACGCCCCTGGCGAGTTCACGCCTCTAATCGCGGGCGACATGGGACAGAGAGGTGGCGCGTGTGGGTGTGAGTGTTGGTGGTGTGGGCGGCTCACGGGAAGGAAAGCGCCCAGGTGAGAGGACAGGCGATGGTCTCAGGTGGGCGGTGAGGTTAGGTGGATAATTGAGAGGGTATATCGCTCGGTGAGTTTTACCTAGGATATATATGTATTTTTTTTAAGTGTAGTTTTGTATTATCCAGAGAGTATTCAAACATCCATGACTATTCCTCTTCTCATAAGCCACGCTTGGAGCCATGCCAACCAACACGTCCACGTGGAGGGGGAGGAGGGGGGGTGGTCGGCCTGTATATTTTCCGGAGCTCAGCCCCCAACAACTCCGGCTGAAATTAAGCTCGGGTAACACAACGCATAGTAATGATGCTTCAGCTTTAATCTCTATGATTTATGAGTGCTACAGGCCACCGGTATCGCGTATCAACTATTAGAAAGCAGTATGTACACACACAATCTCTCTATCCTGTGTATATAATCCAGCCCTGAGTAAGGATAGCGATTTCAAGGATAAGGTTTGCATCTATAGGGTGCGTAAACCCTCCTTTATATCTCAAAGGGGTTGACAACATTCGTCACTAATGTTTGTGTCGGATCGCCACTTAAGTAAAATGTTGCGTCTTAAACACCTCCTACAATTAATAAAGTTGCCATGTGATGAACAAACGGCGCCAATGTATAAACGCTTCATCAGCACCACCGGTGTGATCCTGGAAAGCGATCCACACACACGCGTAACAGTCTGGTTCGACATTTCCCTGGTCATGACTATTATTTTTTACTAGCTAAGGCCCATTGAGCTATATGGCTCTTTTTTCGAAGCGACCTGGCCACATATTATAGCCCAACGAAGTGGCTTATCACGTGAAAATGTATAGCAGACAAACACTCCACGCGACCACGGGGAGAACATGCAAACTTCAAATATACAGGCGTCAGAGTCGGAATCGAGCCCACGACCTCCTGTATACCAGACGAGGTGGTTAACATCTCGTCACCACGGCGGCAATGTATTACCGCTTCATCAGCACCACCTGTGTGATTCCGGAGAGCGACCCATACACACACGTAACAATCTGGTTAGACGTTTCACTGGTAGTTAACAAGCAGCATCATGATGAAGGCCACTTGTGTTGCGGCCGAAACGTCGTGAATTTTTTATTTTTATTTTTGTTGTTTTATACTTTTACGTGACTTTACCGAATAGAACCAAAGAGTATGGATCCTTGCAGTCACGAAAGCTTCAAATCTTGAACTTCTCATCTCATTAATTCTAATACCCCAACTGTAGTTGGGTGGGGAGGGGGGTGTTGTTATTTTAGCCTAGAGGACACCCTGATGGCAGCTGTCCCTGTGCATCACAAGGGTCACTCAGCACCGGTCTGTGAGTAGGCGTTGATGTTGCCCAAGGTTATTCCACTTCAGCAATGTGTGGGTCGGCCCGCGGGATATGCTCCCGAATTTTTGGGATGAATAGGAAAAAAAATCCCAATACAGCATCAGGCATAAATTTAACTAAATATCGGACGATCCAAAGAACGTTGTTCTTTTTTGCATCGATTGGAAAACTGGGAGTGATGTCACGAAAATGAAGTCACGACCACGTTTTTTCTGGATGTAAGTTTGTGGCGCGTGGCATCGGTGACGTCGCTAAAGGTCGCACAGAAACAGTTTTGACATCAGTTTACGTGACGGAAAATTGAAGGTAAAACCACAGTCGGGCGATGGTGGCCACGCAACACAAACCATGGCCCATATAATAAAACGATTGTACTCTGGGCTCCTTCAACGGAGAAGGAGGGAGAGCAAAACTAAATCATCTCTCTCCTGAAGCCCTCTCGTCGTGGCCAGCAGGACCTCGACGTTGGCCTCTAGCTCCTGAAAACATTTTACCACACGCAACGTTTTACCCCACACACCTATTTGCGTCAAGTTTGTTGTTCTTCACCCCGCACCTCCGATTAACAGGGTTGGCTACGTACCGTGCGAAAGAAGTTCAACGTACATACATACAAGAAAAAAAGGATCTGTTTTTTTTTCCGAATCGGGAAAATCCGAAACATATCCGAAACTGAGATGACCCAATACGCAATTATTCCGACATTCCGAAATGTTGACCATCGGAAACTCATTCCTGAGCAGGCCTCCTGACACCGGACCCCCGTCTCCATCAGGAGTCGCTCTCTTCCTCCGGGGCCGCGGGCGGAGGAGGTCGAGGCCGGCGTCTGTCCCTCCACGCCGCGGCCACCATCACCACCACCGCCGCGTTCCCTTTCCCTCGGCAGAAGATGCGGCTGAAGGCGGCCCTGAAGCGGCGGTTGAAGGCGGCGTAGAGCACGGGGTTGAGCGCCGAGTTGGCGTAGCAGAGCCACAGCGTGGCGCTCAGCAGCGCCGGCTCCGTGCTGAAGCCCACGAACGGGTCGACGGCGCTCGCCACGAAGTACGGGCACCAGCAGACTATGAAGGCGCCCAGGATGATGGCCAGCGTCTTGGTGGCGCTGTGTTCGCGCTTCATGGTCCTCCTAAACGTCGCCTGCTGCTCATTGCCCTGCTCTTGGAGGTGGTTTTGCTGCTGCTGCTGCTGCTTCACGCTGGCGGTCACCACCGACGCGGTGCCGGTGCTCGACGCGGCGATCTGCCTCGCCTGCCTGCGCGCCACCCGGTAGATCTTGGCGTAGGCCACGAGCATGAGCGCGGTGGGCGCGAAGAAAGCGCAGCACGTGTCGACGAGGGCGAAGCCCACGTTCTTGAGCACCACGCAGCTGTCGGGGCACGAGAGGCGACGTGCCGCCGCCTCCACGCCGACCACGTTCCAGCCCAGCGACACGGGCGGCACGTAGAGGAACGGCAGCAGCCACGAGGCGGCCAGGAGGTGGGCCACGCGGCGCGGCGTGATCCTCTGGCGGTAGCGCAGCGGGTCGCAGATGGCCGTGTGGCGGTCGAAGGCGATGGCGCCCAGGTGCAGGATGGAGGCGGTGGTGAACACGTACTCCAGGCACGTGTGCGCCTTGCAGAACGTGCGCCCGTAGTACCTGGCGAGGACATCGTTGGGCGATGTTGCGTTCCATGTGGCTGTGAGCAGGGCCATTGCCCGAAACGTAACCTGTTACGTATATGTATTTGTTTTAATTACATATATAATATATTATTAAGGCCACATTGTTATTGACAAATGTGTTGAAGTTTGTTTTTTGTTTGTTAGTAGTAACCATGCAGGAAGGTTGTTTAACACGTAGGCTTTCGCGACAAATGTCATCCATAATGGAGGTGTTTGGGTGAATTCGCGTAAATATACACGTGTCAATTAGTAAGGTGACAAACCTTACTAATTGACTTTGTCGGGTGGTGGCAGGTTGAACGACACATTTGTATTTACGCGATCTAACCCAAAACCCTCTATTTACACGTGTTGTTATTTAAGTCCTACTTATCTCGTGACTGGTAACCGCATTGTAAAAAACGGTTACCGTTGCCCCCCACGGCCATTCTGTTATTTTGAGAGCGATATCTGAACCGGTCCTTAGCCGCTCTCCCCTCGGTCGAGTCAGGAAGACAAAGGCGACTGGGCGTGGTTCTGTCCCGTGACCTCGTGCCACCCCCTCGAACGTCGTTCGGCCTAGGGGCCGTCCATAAATGACGTCACGCGATTTTAGACGATTTTTTACCCCCCCCCTTCGTCACACGGCGTCATAAAAAGTCAGACCCCCCCTCAAATATGACGTCACAAAGCTCTTCCCCCGCCCCCCCCCCCAAAAAAAATATAAAACATGCTTCAAATCGCTTTAAACTATTGTCATTGTAGTGGGTATTTAATGTGGCGCTGCACTCTGATGTTGTATGAGAAAACATTTATTAAAAAGTATATTTAATTAACTAGAACGTGTTGTCTATATTTATTTAAAGTTGCGCATTTTTATGTGACGTCACATTTCTCAACCCCCCCCCCCCTCGTCACACATCGTCACAAATGTCTGACTCCCCCCCCCCCAGGTGCGTGACGTCATTTATGGACGGCCCCCTACATAGCTGTGACTCGCTATCAACACTTGCCACGACATCCTGTGTCTATACGGGGGATCTTTGTCTTTTGTTTGGTTTACGTATACACATCAGAATTTGTGCACGGAGCGCATCATGTTTTACCTATATGTATTTTTACTTCTCTGTGTGGATCGATATATCTCTCTATCTAATTGTAAGTATCTATATGGTGTTAGTAACTATATGTATGTATCGCTATATGGTACCAGCCGTGTCAAGATCGGCCTCTATGGATGAGGATATTTAAGGACGCTACTGGTCAGTTAGAGGCAGTCGCCCTCCAACAACAACGGAGGGCGGAGGAGCGACGCTCGCGACGACGAGTGGAGCACCGGGTGGCTAAAGCACAGCAGGTTGGAACAGCAGGGGGCACAGGTGGTGCAGCAGCCATTCATCTCAGTGGGTCAACCCATGTCACCCGGCTCTGCCCCGTGACCTCCTGTCAGCCAGCCTTCGACAATTCACGTGGCCTCAAAGTGCACATAGCCTGGCACAGAGAGCCGTGGCGACGTCACCGTCACTTAATGGGTGTGCACACTCACCAGCATTGGTGCACGGAGCGCATCATGCTGTAGGGCATCACCGTCAGCCCCACGAGCAAGTCCGCCACGGCCATGGAGGCGATGAACGCGTTGGTCTGGGTCCTCAGCTGGCGCGAAGTGGCCACGGCGATGATGATGAGGAGGTTGCCAGCGACGGTGGCGGTGATGAGGAGCGTGAGGAGGCCCTGGATGACGGCGCGGACCTGGGCCGGCGAGGAGGCGACGGAGCAGTTGAGGAAGAAGTCCCCGACCTCGCAAATTGCGGCCGGTGGGAGCCACGGGCGGTCTGGCCTGGACCCGTTCATCTCTCCTCTATCAGCAAAAAATAATAATTAATGAGACGTAAAGATGTGCACAGAAATTAAACACACGTATACAGTCTTCGCTCTCGAAGAGAGAGAACGACTCGGAGACGCGAGGAGGAATCCCAGACGAGAGGGAAAGTAACCTAGGGCCTCCCCTAGGTCCACTCAGCCTCAATTGAGTAACTGGTATGTATGTTGAACTTCTCCTGCACAGTACGTGGCCAACCGTGCTAATCGGATGTGCGGGGGGTATTAAAGGTGTTACCGGCCAATTCATTAAGAGCTTACATGTGGGAGGAAACCGGAACACTCTGAGAAAACCCACACGCACGCGACGGAGAAACGTTCTATCCCATACAAACGGAACAGGTGGAATTCACAGTTTTCCCGTACCGCCTTCTCCTGGCGAGCCAGGGTATGGCTCCCCCTCGACGCGCAATGTGGAAGTGAGTTTCACATTTGTGAGATCCACCAAGGCTCGCAGCCCCCAGTGCTGGATTTAAACCCACGGCTAGAATCATCAGTAGCAGAATCAATAAAGAATTAAAGCTTTCGTGACTGCATAAATTACTCATTGGTTTTTTCGGTAAAGTCACGTATGTAGAAATACCATGAAATTATATTAAAATTAATCACGACGTTTCGACCGCAACACAAGCGATCTCCATCAGGTGTAAAAAAAAAATAGCGAGGGAGCACATAGGGTGACATCAACGCAACACATAGAGAGCGTTAAACTGCACGGAGGTAAATACAACAAGAAGATGAGAGACGAGAATTCAACAAACCTAAGAAAAATTTACGTAATGCAAAACCAGTCGGCCAACAACCCAGTTAGACACTTGCCTGGCGCACCACGAATTTCCGAAGAGTGCTACATTTCGTGTTCATCCTCTGGGTTGAACACACCGGCATAGACAGAGTGAATAAATACGAGGTACAAGGTAGCAGAAATACATATACAGGGACAAAGAGCGAGGGAGCACATAGGGTGACATCAACGCAACACATTGAGAGCATTAAACTGCACGGAGGTAAATACAAAAAGAAGATGAGAGACGAGAATTCAACAAACCTAAGAAAAAATTACGTGATGCAAAACCAGTCGGCCAACGACACAGTTAGACACTTGCCTGGCGGACCACGAATTTCAGAAGAGTGCTACATTTCGTGTTCATCCTCTGGGTTGAACACACCAGCATAGACAGAGTGAACAAATACGAGGTACAAGGTAGCAGAAATACATATACAGGGACACCAAGAGGCAAGACGGACAGAGAAGCTTCTCTGACCGTCTTTCCTCTTCTTGCCTCTTGGTGTCCCTGTATTTGTATTTCTGCCACCTTGTACCTCGTATTTGTTCACTGTCTATGCTGGTATGTTAAACCCAGAGGATGAACACGAAATTTAGCACTCTTCTGAAATTCGTGGTCAGCCAGGCAAGTGTCTAACTGTGTTGTTGGCCGACTGATTTTGCATCAAGTAAATTTTTCTAAGGGTGGCAGAATCAAGTTTTATTTATTAGGTATAGCCCTGTGAGCCATGCGGCTCTTAAGTCGGGTGCAACCGCAACAAACTAAATTTGAACACAGAACATCTTAAAGCGACAAAAATAAATATAGACAACGCGTTCTACTTAATTAAATCGACTTTTTAATAAATGTTTTCTCCTGCAACATCAGAGTGTAGCGGCACACTAAACACGCACTACAATGACAATAGTCCAAAGCGATTTGAAGCATGTATCAAAATCATTTATTTCGAATCATTGTCAGCAGTAGCATCAGCATCGTCATCAGCGTTATCATCGACAGCAGAATCAGTATAGCACCCTCAGCAACAGCAGCAGCATCAGCAGCAGTAGCATCAGCAGCATCAGCAGCAGTAGCATCAACAGCAGCGGCAACAGCATCGTTGTTAACATTGTAATCGGCTGTAGCATCAGCATCATTATCGGCAGCATCATCGACACGATCATCATCACTTTTATAATTGACATTTGCATCATCAGCAGCAGCATCACCATACGCAATTATCGTTATCACCAGCAGTGCAGTAGCCATCAGAATAATACACATCAGTGGTTCTGCGGAACTGTTGCAGATGCAAACTATTTTCACTACATTCCAGATGCTGTACCCAAATTCCTTGGTGATGCTGCTGCGATGGCAGTGACGCACAAGTACAAATAACAACAACAACAACAAAAAACACTCAACACATTCGTCAACGCCATTGTGTGTATAATAGGCGACGTTTCGGACTACGGTCCTCCATCGTAGCACACAGAGGATCTGTGTCCTGTCGAGAATGTATGTGTTGTCAACAAGGGCGGTTGCCCAAAACGTCACTTAATAATTATCATCATCTTCATAGTACAGGGTGTTTAAAAATAATAGACCCGATTTGAAATCGCTATATCTCTGCAACCACGAACCGCCCATGAATGAAACTCTCACCACTTGAAAGGGCGGGGCATAGAGAGGGCGGGTCATAGAGAGGGCGGGGCATATAGAGGGCGGGGCACAGAGTTTCAAATGATTACCGCTAGATGCCTCTCCCAGCGCACAGACAGCCCCTAGCCTCAGTCATTCGCTAGACAACACTGCCTCAACGTTGGATAGGTCGCACGGAACCCCAAGAATTGGCGCTACACTCTTGGCCGCCAAGATCCCCCCTGCGACCTTTTCTTGTAGGGATATATCAAAGACCCGTGGTGTTTTTGTGCCACCATTAGCGACTAATCTGGATGACCTCAAAAACAGAATCACGGCAGCGGTGACTTCAGTGGAAGAAGACTTCACTTTGAGAGGCGTTTGGGACGTACAGCAGGTGGAGGGCACATAGAGCATTTATAAAATGGTTAGTAAAATTTGATAACTCATTAAACCGTTTGTAACTTTTCGTGTAATTGTAACATGTTGCCATCGTGAAATATACTGCTTTGAAATTGGGTGCGTGCCTTTCAAACACCTTGTATAAGCGTCATTAAATTCGTCATATATTTACTATCAACTGCTGTACCCGTAGAGTCAAGGATGTAACGCATGGAAAAAAATATATTATAATCAAGGAACGCAGAGGCAAGAAAGAAGAGGAGCATTATGGAAATGGAACGGAGAAACGGGAGCAAAGGGTTTTGGAAAAAATTTCGATTTAAAGCTTTCGTGACTGCAATGATTCATCTTCTTTGGTTCTTTCGGTAAAGTCACGTAGAATGAGAATTAAATAATAAATTGATAAAATATTATTGTGTTATTTTATTTTATCAATTTATTATTTTATTCTCATTCTACGTGACTTTACCGAAAGAACCAAAGAAGAGGGGTTTCGGAAAGTTGAGACTCCGGGGCAAGAGGCTAGAAAGGGCCCCGACGCTGCTGCACGGAGCGGTGTCTGTTTTTAAAGGGGGCGGCGAGGAGAGGGGATAGAATCGGAGTGGGAGTGGCCACACCGAATCCACGTGATTTACGGGAGGCTTAAGCTGATTTAAATAGCATACGTATGTGTGTACTGTATTTCCCTTGACGGCCACGTTATTGACGATTGTGTTGAGTTCCCAGATTGTTTTTCCTGCGTGGTGATGCCACGCAGATGTGTCGAGGGATGACATTGGCCCGTGGTGCAGAAACGTTGGGAACTACTAATCCAACATCATAGACATCGTCATCATCAAAATCGTTATAGTAACCATCATTATTTTCTAAACTAAACTAGATTCATTTTTATTTTACCAGGTGAGGTCCATTGAGCTATATGGCTCTTTTTCAGAAGCGACCTGGCCACAAATGACAGCTCAACAAAGTGGCTTATCACGTGGATATTTACATCAGACAAACTACTCTAAACGCATGCTTCTAAATGTGGAGGGAAAACGGGAGGACCCGGAGCAATATCCACGCGACCACGGGGAGAACATGCAATTTCCAAATATACAGGCGTCGGGGTCGAACCCACGACCTCCGACGTACCAAGCGAGGGCGATAACATCTCGCCACAACGGCGCCCCTCATTTATCATCGTTTTCATCTTCATCAGTCATCATCTACTTAACAACTGCATTATCTCTATCAGGATAATATTCTGCTCAGCAGCAGTAACGGTTGCATCAGCATCACGTCCTCGCAATCACCACTATCGTCACAATCATCAGCAGCAGTATCATCAACAACACGATCATCACCAAAGTCGCAATCATCATCGCCACTACCAATACGATGAACATCACCTGTATCAACAAAACACCATTGTTACATTACCACTCTCATCACCATAACCATCACCGCATCACCACCCCTCACCTCTTTCAATATCCCGAATCCCCTTTCACTCTCCCCATCCCTCACGTCGTCTATATCTCACCTACTCTCTCTCTCTGTCACCATCCCACACCCCTCTCTCTCACCATCCCTCACCTCCTCTCACCCATACCTCTTTGTCACCCATCCCTCACCTCAGCTCTTTCTCGCTATCCCACGCCTCTTTGCCACCATCCCTCACATCCTCTCTCTATCCCTCACCTCCTCTTCTCACCATCCCTCACGCCTTCCTCTCTCCCTCTCTCTCACCTTCCCCCACCTCCTCTCTCAATCGCCTCACCTCTTTATTTCACCAGCCCTCACTCTGTCAAAATCCCTAATCCCATCTCTCTTACCATCCTTCACCTCCTCCCGCGCACCATCCCTCACCGCCTCGCTCTCGCCATCCCACAGCTCTCAAAATCCCTGACCTCACTCCCTCACCTCTTTACTCTCTCACCATCCCTCACCCTCTCACCATCCCTCACCTCCTCTCTCTCTCTCTCTCACCATTCCTCACCTTCCACCTCTGCAAATTTCCTTCGGATTTCTTCTCAACCTCTTCCCCCGCACCTTATGCGATAGCGTTCACCCTCAAACCTCAACACTTAAATACCTCGTCCGCCTTTGTCCCTCTCTGTGTCTGTCCCCCTCCCTCTCTCTCTCGCCACAGAAGTATCGCCCGGCCTTACCCACGCTTATATGGCATGGGTTGGACAAGGAACCCAGTCTCCTGGGACCATATTCGTCAAAAGGCGATGACAGCCAAATTATGGCTCCATTTCCCGCTCAAAAAAATGTCTCGTTAATTATGAGTCGCCTAATTATCACCTGC